GGCAAGCATGGGAATCATAGCTTAGGCGCTCTGCTCAGTAAAGCGGCAGTGTATGTGCTTGTAGGGCCTGGAGTCAACTGCCCACTGGGACTGGAACCAATCAAAATCGGTCAACCAAAAAGATAAGGAATGGATCTACGAAACAATTAAGGGATCCGGATTGGACGCCCGAGTCGGATCAGCCGATCGAAAGTGAGGGGTCGGGGTTAATAGCAAGTGTGATGAGGTCACACTAGATTTGCAACAAAAGGGTACATATTTTTCACAAATGGAATGTAAACAAGTGAGAAGTTGTGATAGGGCGGCAGTCGGATTAGAGGGTAAAGAGTAGATAGATAGGCCAGGACAGAAAGAGGAATGAGAGTGTAACAGTTTTCGGCAGCACGTTTGTCGAGGGATTGACTTCACCTATCTCTTTGACGAGTTCGTAGCTTGGTACGGAGAATGGCCAAACTCACTGATGATGCCGATTACGATGCTGGCGAAACGTTTGAGAATGTATCAAGTCAACTGTCAGATGTTGGGAATCATGCCAACTAGTATGGCAGACGATTTCGGGCTAGGTGCGTTCGACTAAGTCCTCCTGACAACAAGACCAAGTTGCGAAAACGAGGTCAACCTACAAACTTATTTTAAACTTGTGTTAAGAAACGATCTTCTATTTTTCCATTGTATCCTCGGACTCTTACTCGATATTTATGCTCAAAACTGTTTTAATCATCATTTTAAATTAATTTTTCTCATTTTCAGATAATCGACAAAAATCTATGCAACCCATCTGAAGAAATCGAAATCCTACTTCGGTTCACCGCTTTTCCTCATATAATCACTTTGATATGTGTATGTTTTTTTCCTACTACCGATCAATTATCAACACTTTATTTTTGACTTTCGAATCGCTGACTAATAATCAAATCAATAATTCTATATCGATAATCTTCTTATTAATCTTAAACGTAGGGGGAGAAATTGCTTGAAATTTTTTTGGCTTCACAGCATAGTCTCCTGAATATCTATATGCTTTTACTTTTCCACCTTACTCGAAGCTCATACTACAGCTTGCTTTTTTCACTTTTAAAAGTTATAGGCTCTAACTTTAATTAGGTTGCCTTCCCTTATACGAATCTGATTTTCCTATTTCATTTGACTTCCAACACCTTTATCCAGTCTCTATCATTGAATTTATTTGACATCGGTTTTTAGCAAACTTTAGCATATTCAACTTTTTATTAGACTGTTTAATGACTCTAATAACGAATTTATTGTTCATTTTATTAATATTTTATTT